TGCCCAGCCCTGACTCTGGAACCCAGGGCGCCGTCACGGACCCCCCCCCCCCCCCGCTACCACTCTACTTCACCTGCAGACAAAACGAAAGGCCAAAAGAAAGAGCAAAAACAGCGACGGTCAGATTGGCCAGGACTTGAACCTGGGACTTGCCACGGAAGCGATGATAATCCACGACATGCGTTACCACTACGCCACCAATCCATAAACGTTTTCGGTTTCCGCTGCATAGTGGGACTGGGGTTTTGACACATTATATACTGATAATAATGGAGAGACGCACCACAACAAGACTGTGTCTCGTCTCGCCTTGCCTGCGGAGCCTCCTCGTGACTGACACTACATGTGACGCATGATCTTCGGACTCTTTGCTTTCAAACTGTGTATGAGAGACCACGCTCCTATCACGTGTTCCTGATCTGTTGCCACGGCTCAGGTGAGCTATCTCTACTGTGAAAAGGGGTCAAGCCTGTCGGCTATGTTGCCTGCGGAACTTTACGCATTACACCAGCGAAACGGCGCAATGTCTTGTCGTTTGCATTCGCTCCATTGTAACTTGTCCCTGATGGCTGACACGCGCTTGCAGTAGTCAACACCGGCAAAATGAAGCGACGGCGCTTTCCTTCCCGGACCAATGCGGTGGTGTCAGCCAGTCGATGACATGCGAAGGAGCTCAACATGGCGAGAACCTGGCGAGCGTATCAATTGAGCATGTTGCTCTTCACTGGGAGATCAAAGGCGACGTCAGTTCAATCCCGAATCCCGGTTGCAGTGGATTTGGTGCTTGCATTCAGACTCAACATTCACGCGTGGAAAGCACAAGGACTCTTCGAGCTCGCCAACACAGTCAACCATGCACACCCATCACTGACAGCCGACAGCACCCCACAAACGACGACGCGAACATACACGCACCATGCGCATAATATCCTCACCGCCAGCCGAATCGCCCCCATTCCAATGCCTTCCCTCCCGCCGCTTCGTCCACGGGGACTCGACAGAACCAGCCCGTCACGCCCGCGGCGCATCTTGGCTCTGCCGGCCGCGGGCGCCCAGGGAAACACACACATCCCTGACAACGCCGCCCCGGCAACGCCAAAGCTAGTTTGCGTTTGTCTCGGAAGATAGACGGACGGAAAGACATAGACGGTTAGGTTCGCTGGCTGGTTGGTTGGTAAGTGCCGGTTGGGTCGGTCGGCCGGCAGATATCCCTTGAACGGGTGGCGGTTGGTCCCGCGCTCGCCCGTCCGTCTCTCCCGCTGCCTGCGCCCGATGCTGGGGTGCGGTTGGCGGGTTGGCCGACATTCGCGAATAGGGAGGCGTGTGACGGGGGGGGAAACAAGGCTCGAGATCTTCTTCTCTGGTTTGCGGAGATTCGTGGCTTTTTCATCTGCGCGGTCAAGGGTGCCGGCCACGATGGCTTCCTCAAGTCAGGATTGTTGGATGATAATGCAACACGACAACAGCGTGCGTTGCCGACGACAACATTTACGGTCAGACTGGCAGGTGCGAGAAGTCGGTTACGTTCATGACCTGCGGTCAACTGTCATATGACATTGAACCAAGTTGAATTTGCGATGGTTAAGAATGTGGCGAGAAATCAGCAAGGCGGCTACTCGGCGCCGGGCTGTGGCAGGTAGAAACGCCCCAAGGCAGCACATTGCAAGATGGTGAGAAGGCATCGACAGACATGTATTGTATCACTAGTAATTAGAGTGATGCCGTTAAAAAGAAAAACCTCGATTAATCCTTCGGCAACAGCTGGATATGATCTCGTGGTGAACACCGTCTCGCCTCATCAAGTCGCAGCAATCTCGAGATTAGATAGAATTATACACGCGAGGCAACTCTTTTACAACTCGTTCGGTGGCTCAGTACCTGGGAACTTGCGGGCAAAGGAAACCAACGTGATGACCTGGTCGACTTGCAACGTGTTGGGGTTGACTCCAGGATTGACAGCGCGAATCTGGCCTTCCGAGCTGCGGTACCTCCGTCCAAGAATGAAGAATGTGTCCCCAGCCTTTATTTTGTATGGTGTCACTTCGGCCATGCTGTTGTCGCAAATCGGGATATTGACCACTTGGCCAATGTTGACAACGTCGGGATTAGGAATGTTCGCCTTGTTGGCTCCCTCTAAGGCTTCCAGCGTAATGTTGAATGCCCGCGCAACTTGGCCAAGAGTGTCGCCTTGCTGGATGATGTAAAACCCGGGACCGCCATTGATGCAAGTCGCAGTCGGAGTGACGGTGGAGATACACGAGGTGCTGTCGGGATGGCAAACCTGAGGGGGGATAATGATCTTCGCCCCGGCCAAAATGAAGTCGGGGACAGTGATGTTGTTGGTCTTGGCGATGTCGCAAATTCCACGGTTGAACTTCTCCGCAATCTTCGTCAAGGTGTCGCCTTGCGCAATTACATAGGTTTGCGTGGAGGTGTCGAGCTTGACTGAGCCATTGCAAACTGATTGAGATGATGTGTCAATATCGATGGTCATGTCGATGGATGTCGTGGAGACCTCACGTTGTCGAGTCTCCAAATTGGTGATCAGAGCTCGTTTTCCAAGACGTCCGACTACGTCCAAGTCGGCCGCGTCGGGATAGGCCTCAGGCATCGCGGCCGCGAAGCCGAGGAGGGATGCTCCAGCAGCCAGGAGGGTAAGGAGACGCATGTCGGATCCGTTTATGGGTTTCAAGTTTTGTGTTTTGTCGCTTGACACAATATCTGTCGAGAGGTCGGTGCAAGTGGCGACTGCTAAAAGAAAGTGCAGGGCATAAGTTACTCTTTAAAAAGCGGTGACTTGGAGAGGGGCAAGCTCCCTTCCAAGCCCGGGCAGCTAAATGAAACTCAGAATCAAGCGCAACCTTAACGCTGCTCGCAGAGCTCGTCATTCGATGTCCGATATTTGCCGTCTTATAGAGAATTTTGGTATTTCCGGTGACTGATAAGTGGTGGCGGCGGTTTGGGTTTACTCGGAAACACTGCTGTCAAGGAAGGAAATAGCCGTCAACTCTATTTCGAACAAGGTGACTCGACCCCTCTGTTTCCTCCCCGCGTACCTGCATACACGTACGTCATGGCTTTCCCTGAGTACCCTAGGCCGCACAAGGCTTGTGACGGACGACAACGCTGTCAAAGGGTTTGGTGCCAACGGTTTGAGCTAACGTTAGCTTCACGCGACGAAGAAGAATAGGTAGCGCGAGAAGGGACACAAGTCGCGAGCGCTAGCTGGGCCTAATCTAGCCATCCCGACCTGAATCGACAAAAGGTACCAGGGGAAATTAAATCTTGAAGCACTTCAACTGGGGCTCCCGGCCATCGACCCTGGAATCGACAACCTGAAATCTGGACGGATTACTACGTTTGTCAACTGTCGACTGCCAACCTACGATGGATGCGGTCACAAGTTTCGCAGCATGGCACGCTGATGACGCGCATTTGGCTTGTTGATCTGCGTCTGGTCGATCTTTGAGCCGCTGCTGTGGGCGCTCATGCATGAAGCACTTTGAATGAATGATTGAGTCTTTGAAAATACGCATCTTTTTCGCCGGAGCACTTGCGAGAGCAGCGACATCCTGGAGCAGCAAGGGTACACGCTACGTGTGCCTGACGATGCGGACTGATTCTGCATTTCGTAGCGCAGACTGTTATCTGGGACAGTGGGTAAATGGGTTGAATACGACGACGAAATTCCGTGTCGTGAGGCGCTCTGCGGCTTGGACAGGAGCGGTCCGAATCCTGCAGATGGTGTTGGGTTGGCATGGTCGACGGGCAAACTTTGCCTCTGGGTGAGGAGAAGCTCGATCCTTGAGGGATTTCCCTGCTCGCGTGTTGGCACGGCCAAGCATCTCTTCTTACGGGGAAGTTGCGCCTTGGCAACTGGCTGACACTTGGGCGGAGTGTTGCGATGAATTGTCGGGTGATGAATTTTTTGAGCACTCGCCGGTCCTGGCTTGTTGGCCACATCCAGCCCTGGTCACCAGATGAGGGACGCATGTTGTCGAGCTACAAAGGTAGGTAGTAGCATTGGCGAGCGACTCTTTGCCCAAAAAGAGTAAGGAGTAGTTTGGGGCTTTTCGCGATCGCCAAAGGTCCGAGGAAAACAACACACTGACACAGTATTAGCCGTTCAAAAACGAATTACCGAATGATCAGCCATGTAAAAGGCATGGCAGTGGCTTTGAATCCAATCCCTCGGTATGCTCTACTCGTATTTGCGGACGCTGTGACTGAACGCCGCAGAAGGTGCTCCCTCGGGGATAGGCTCTACCAAAGGCAAAACCTGGCGGAAGCGCGGAAGGCTCCATGCACAGTTGGACCGTCAAACAGGCCCAACGTAGGCAGAGGTGAGTGTAAGTTTTTGTCCAAAGCATGTTCTCCCGCGCAGCTCGTTTGTTTTGCACGTCGCAGAGAGTGACACGACTGGCACGTGGTCGCCGTTACTGTCGATGCCCGACTTTGAGAGACGGCTCATTGGGAAGGTTGGTGGTATATTTCACGTCGATGCGATGAGGTGATCAAAGGCGCGAGGACGGCCCATGTCAGGCGCGACGAGGTGGAAGGACTCGAGCACAGTAAGTAAGCCGTCAGGCACGATGATTGACTGTTAGTTCTCGCGGCAAAAGGTGTCCGCACTTGGAACAGCGTTGGATAATGGAGCTGTCATCATCGTCGCGGCAGGTACCGTCGCTATCCGCCTGTGGAGCCGTGGCTTAATGGGACAGAACCAAGGGTCGGGGTGGTGGGTGGGCGTCGCCCCCGCGCGGCGCGGGTGCGGCAGTCAAGACAAGGTTCTGTGCCGAGGTCTCGCCTGGACCACACGGCTCTCCCATTCGCCAGAGGCCGGCGCTAGTGGTGGCACTAGCCTGTTCGGGCAACGCCCACGATTTCCGCCCATCGCGAGCATCTCCGCCGAGGAACGCAAAAAACTAGCAAACGATCAAAACAACACGCACCAGCAGCAAAATGACATAGTGAAAAGCAAAAAGAAATCACGTGCTACGCGACACCTGTGAGATTCGAACTCACGCTCCCGAAGGAACTGGCTTAGTTACGACCGTGGAGATAGTAGCAGGCCAGCGCGTTAACCACTCCGCCAAAGTGCCGAAGTGTTATTATTAGAGACGACGTTTGTTATTGAATTTATATCCATGATGCGTTATTCCACGCTAGGTTGATTGATTGATTGATTGATTAATTGATTGATTAATTAATTAATTAATTAATTAATTAATTATTTTACGTCTTGCTGGAGCTATAGGCTATCTAAGACGGAGCTATCTATAGGGGATCCCGTATACGTTTATAAGGTAAGTAGGAATGCCCGGCTAAAGAATCTCATATAATAAGGCGCGATTCTTAGTATAATATTAGTATAGGGTAGGTATAGACGGATAGTTTATCTAGGCTCTTTTTAGATTAATTAATTAATTATTTTACGTCTTACTAGAGCTATAGGCTATCTAAGACGGAGCTATCTATAGGGGATACCGCGTATATTTATAAGGTAAGTAGGGATGCCTAGCTAAAGAATCTCGTACGACGAAGTATAATTCTCGGTATAATGTCGGTATAGGGTTATTATAGATAGATAGTTTATCTAGGCTCTTTTTAGGTAAGGGGGGGCTAAGAACTAGCCTTCCTACCGTTATCTAAGTGGATAGGTAGCATGAAGTAAGAGTAAGGAAAGGAAGGGGGATGGGAATTAATTAATTAATTAATTAATTAATTATTTTACGTCTTACTAGAGCTATAGGCTATCTAAGATAGAGCTATCTATAGGGGATACCGCGTACGTTTATAAGGTAAGTAGGGATGCCCGGCTAAAGAATCTCGTACGATAAAGTATAATTCTTAGTGTAATGTCGGTATAGGGTTATTATAGATAGATAGTTTATCTAGGCTCTTTTTAGATAAGGGGGGGCTAAGAACTAGCCTTCCTACTATTATCTAAGTAGATAGATAGCATGAAGTAAGAGTAAGGAAAGGAAGGGGGATAGGAAGAAGGCGTACATAGAAAAGTAAATATAGTATAGGGTAGTAGGTAAGGTAGATTATATATATGCTCTGCTATAGCGTTCTAGTACTATCCCTAATAGTACTATTTTTTTTTTTTTTTTTAGTTAGCGTTGTATAACACCTTTCTTAGCACCTATAAAGGTAAAAAAGGCGGGTAAGGTTTTTAACTAGTAGTATATATCTTCTAGCTAACTAGTATAGTTAGCTAACACTTATCATAGAAAATAAATAACGCTAAAGAACCTAGGTTTAATCTATATTAATGTTACTTATAATTTAATCTAGCCCTATTACTACCGTTAAATAACCGCACATTAATATTATTACTAATAATAGAGCTCTATATACCGCCCTAGCCTAGGTATACTATATAGATAAATAGCGTTAAGCCCTTACCTTACCGCTAAACGGTTATCTAATCATTATTAGGAGTAGGAGGATTTAGCTAGAGTAGTTATAGAGTAGTCATCTAAGCTATATTAACGCCTTTCTAATCTAGAGGGCTAGGGTCTTAGTAGAGGCTCTATATGTTAGAGGCCTAAGAATAAGTCTAGACTGTTCTAGACTCTTCTAGACCTCTTCTATTACTAAGAACTTATTCCTACGGGTTCTTTTAGATTCTAGCCCTTATTCTAGATTATCTCATTACTAAGGCCTAGAATCTTCTAGTCTAGATTGATTAGAAATCGTCTTCTATTAATAGAAGAACCTATTACTAATTACCTAGAGATAGAACTCTCTAGAATCTATAGGTTCTTCTATATAAACACCCTTAGGTAGCCTACTAGTTAGTCCTTTAAGGAAGTTCTCTTATAGTAAAGAATCTACTACATTCTCTACTATAAACCATCTACTATACGGTATATAATAAAGATATTACTTATCTTTATAGAATACCGCTAACAGGTTATGAGCCCGGCTAATAGTAATCTATAGATTACTATATAGCTTGCCTTATAATTTATAAGTAGGATTTTACTTCCTTCCCTACTTATAAGAAAGAATATACTATTCTTTCTATACTAGACCGCTCTTATAAGTAAGGCTTAGTAAGACTATCTCGGTGGATAGCTATTAAGCTAAACTTATAAAGAAGTCTAGGGAAAGCCTACTTATTTATATAAGTAAGGCATTTTTTAGGGTAAGGACTAGTATCCTAAGCCCTATCCTTAGGCTCTTAGCCTATCGAATTTTTCCTAGGACCGTCGGGCCTATATCTACCTAGGATTTTATTCTAGAACCTTCTAGTGGTCTAGAATAACCTTATTCGCTACCTATTCTTTACCTTTCTCCGCCTTTCTCCGGATTTCCTCACATTTCTATCAACTACGTTGATATAAGGTGTGGCTGCGCGGCCTCTATACCATATTAGGCCTAAGCGTTACCCGTTTGCACTAGTTCCCGCTAGTGTCTTGGCACGAGGAACACTAAAACTTCACGACACTTCGAAACGTTTTCGACCCGCATCGACCCGAATACTTTGCTTAGTAAGCAAAGTAGTATACCGTTTTGAAGAGAAAAACTCGGCGGATAAGGATCTGAAATCAGATTCCTTATATCTCTACTCCCGGCTAAGTTATTAGAGAAAACATCGATACTCTAATAATCTCCCCACTTTCTATTAGGTGCATCAGGCCCATTAGCACCTAATAAACTTCGAGACTTCATACACTTATAGTTTCCGCTTAAAACTATAAGTACATAGAGTTTTATACTCTAAAGACCTCTATAAGGTATAAAATCTTTAATATACCTTAAGAAAGGAACATCTTCTACTAGGAAATATAGGAAAAGAATTCCCTAGCATTCCTAAACTTAAAGGCCCTGAGAACTGGGAGTCTTAGCGATCTACTATAAATGATATAGTGATTATAGAAGGGCTAAAAGCCCATCTAGACTCTAAATCTCAACCTAAAGTAGAAGATCCTACCTGGGAGGTTAATGATGCTAGAATAAGGACTTTCATTAGGACCTCTATAGATCCTAAACTTTATTCTAGCATTGCCCATTGTAGAACTGCAAGTTCTATGGGAGAAGCCCTTAGAAAAAGATGTGAATCTAAGGGACTTTCATGGGAAGTCTCACACTTTATAAGGCTACTAAGCCTTAAAGATACGGGAGATATTAATACCTAGGTGGCTAATCTATTAGATGAGATAACCCTATTATCTCAGACTAAGATGGCCTTAACGGAGAGGCAGAAACTAGGTGTATTCTTTAGTAATATACCTAGTAGCTATTCTTCATGGAGCGCCGTAGCCCAGCTAGGGCTAAAAGAAGAGACTACTCTAGACCACCTTATAGAGCGTCTAGTAGAAGAGTCTCGGCGCCGAGAACTAGAAGAAGAAAGCAATACTGCCCTTATTACTACAACTAGTAATAAAGGGAAATCTTCTTCTAAAAAGAACGCCTCTACTTATAATAATAAGAGTACTAAGAAGTGCTCTTATTGCAAAAAGAATGGCCATCTAGAAAAGGACTGCTATAAAAGAGCTAGGAATTTAAAGGGTAAAGAAAATAATAGTAGTCCTACGGATTTAGAGGATACCCTACACATTACGGGTTATACCTCTTATTTTACCGCGGGTCCCGGCCTAAATGACTGGATTCTAGACACCGGCGCTACAGCCCATATGTCTAGACATAAAGATCTCTTTACTTCTTTAAAAGAAGTAAATTTACCTATAAAACTAGGTAAAGGAGAGATCTATGCTAAAGGAATAGGTACTATACCTATTACCTTTAAGTACGCTAATAGAAGGATAAATCTAACCCTTCTAGACGCTCTCTATATCCCCGATTTATCTATAAATCTTATCTCTATATCTAGGCTATATACACATGGTATATATCTAGATATAAAGAACTTAAGACTTATAGATAAAAGAGAGCAGATATATGCCGAAGTTTTACTTCAGAATAACCTATTTATACTACCTAAGGTAGAATCTGCTATAAATCACTCATACATAGCAGATTTAAACCTATAGCATAATAGGTTAGGGCATATAAACTTAGAAGCTCTTAGGGCACTACTACCTATTAAGGGTAGTAAAATAGACTATTCTATATGCCCTTTAGCTAAATCTAAGCGTACTATATCTACTACACCAGTAGCGGTCTCTAAACCTTATGAGAAGATAGGTCTAGATGTCGTAGGACCTATTACTCCTAAGGGAATAGGGGGATACACCTACTATATAGCCTTTATAGACTATTATAGTAGGTTTACATGGGTATTCCCCCTATTTACTAAAGGAGAAGCCTATAATAAGATAGTTTACTATCTTAAACTTATAGAGCCGCATGGTAAAGTCCAGTCTTTAAGGCTAGATAATGGCCTAGAATATAGGGGAACTCAGCTAGATTTACTAGCTGAAAATAAAGGAATAACTCTAGAAAAGAGTTCTCCTTATAGCCCAGAGCAAAACGGGCTTATAGAGAGGACACATGGGTTAATAGATACTATTACCCGTTGCCTTCTCTTAAATTCTAAGGTCCCCCTTACCTTCTGGCTAGAGGCTATTAAAACCGCCACTTATATTCTAAACCGGACCCCTAAGAAGTCCCTAGAGGGTATTTCGCCTCTAGCCCGGCTAAATATAGCTGAGGGCAGGTCTCCTACTATAAATCTCTCTTATATAAAGACTTTCGGAAGTAAAGTCTTTATAAACATCCCTAGAGAAAAGCGTACTATATCCTCTAAGTATTCTCCACGCTCTAGGCCTGGTATATTATTAGGCTTTGAGGGGGAGCATATTTATAGATGCTGGGATATAGAAAAACAAGCTATTATACGCACTAGGGATGTTACCTTTAAAGAGGATGAATTTCCTTCTCCCTATACTAAAAGTATAGAAGATAAGGAAGATATAGACTATACTAAGCCTATATTTCCTTCTTCTATAACTAGCCCTCCTAATAGACTAAGATCTAGGTCTATAACTACTATAGATACTAGTAGGGAGGACCCTAGGAGAAGTGAGCGCCTTAGAGAAAAATCCTCTAAGGAATCGACTACTATAGAGGCTACTATTAATAGCCCTATAGAAGAAGTACCTCATCCTCTTAGAGAGACCTTTAAAGA